TGATTGAACGAATATTTATGGAAGATTTTACGATGACAACCCGTGTGGACATAGACGAGCATGCATCACTCCTGCACCGCTCAAGCTATTACCTGCCTCTTCCAAACGAAGACAGGCAAAACAAAAGATCCATCAAACTGTGGGCTGTAGGCTTTGCCTTGCTGTTACTATGGAATGTTGGTGGCCCATGTGTGTACATGATTCGTAGTGTAAATTGTTTCAAAGACAATTCCACTGTCTATTTTTGTGAGAAAGGCGCAGTGTTTCCATATTCCGAAGAACTGGTGATAACATGGCTTGCTACACTCTCTGTTTTCACAATCATCATCATCTTGGCACTGCAGAAAGTTCCAGATTTTCTTGGATACAAAAGCTCGCTATATCTGCCAAATCCATCAATTCCTGGATGATATTGATGGGTTTGGCTTTTAACTATATTCTAAGAACTTTATTTGTTGGCTGGTCAATCGGGAGACTCTCAGGCGTGAGTCATCGTTTATAACTCTTGAGGTTGCCGGATGAATGTGCTCAATCTTTGCAAGAACTAAAGGGAAACTAGTATTAATATCAAATAAAATTTTTACTTTGTATTTAACCAAGTTCTAGAAACATTAAATAAGAAATGTACCATAACAAAAATTTAAAAATAGTTTAATTTTTCCTTTTCCGCGTTGAGTAGGATAAAAACATTTTTTACTTTGTATTTAACCAAGTTCTAGAAAGATTAAATAAAAAGTGTAGCTTAATAAAAATTTAAAAAATGATTTTAATTTTTCCTTTTTTGCATGAAGTAGGATAAAAACAGGATATCAACCTCGATTTTTAAGGCAACTCATGAATTTAACCTTGAAATCAACCTTGATTAAAAAAAACAGTTCTTGCACATTTTGCAGACAACCTTGACTTCAAAGGCAACTTAGATTATTCACCCGTGAATAGCATTCACTCCTTCTTCAGAATGTCTTACTCGTGAGTTGTGAAGAGGTTGTGAATGATATCATCTTGAACGATCCTCTTGTCACGCCTTCGGGGTGTTAATTGTTCGCTTGAAGATTTTAAAATATTGATGTTGTATCATAGAAGTCGTGGCGTGCCTTTATTTGTTCTTCTGTCAAAATTGCGTCTTTGTAAATGAGAAGTTATCTCATTAATAGGTCAAGAAGACTCCATGATCTTTCAGAATCTCATGATACAATGGAATCCTACATTTGTTCCGATAGACATCGTTGAGCTTTTTCTCCTTGTCACCTTCCGATTTCTTCTTATCTTCCACATTGCTCTGATCTTCGAAAGATCATCAGACTGAATACCTTCTCTGAACATGCTCGCCCTCTCATTCTTAGTCAAGAAAAAGTCCTCACAGAGCTTGATTAGATCATAACCATCAGTGTCTTGCGCGATTTCTCCTGCGAATTTCACAGTTAACCTGTCAACATGAGCTCTTGAGACATTGTTCACGATATAATCGTTTGCGTGACCACTAACTGCCAAGTCAAAGATGAGTGAAAGAGATCCTGGCACAAGGGCAACTCCGTTACCAAGCTTTGGAACTGGGACCCTAAGGACTTCACTTGGAGATGCCCTATTAGGGTGAAATGTTACTCTGCGGTCCGCCTTGAGAGCGTTTGACGACTTTTTTTCAAAATTTGGATTGTTTTTTTTTTTACCGACTTCCATTTTGAAAATAATAGATATTTTATTTAAAATGGCTGATTTTGGAGATATTGATCGTCTTTTAGAACACTGTGACGGTGATGATGATGATGATGATGATGATGAAGAAGAAGGAAATACATCAACACCTTTTCAACCAGATTACGATTCAACGCACATTAAGCAAGAAACAATAAAGTTCCACAAATGAACACGTGAAAAATAATGGCAATTATGGGTTTAAAAGAGTTTCGTAAAATAAATACCTGCTTTAGAATTTTGTTTTTGAACGAGCGCGTGACGGGATATTGGCTGAGAGCGAGATCGCGTGAGAACTCGTAATAAGGGAGGTGCTTCGTGACAAAAGTCACGCACTTCCGGTTTCAAGCTTGCACAGAGTTATGGGCCAGGGGACTCCCCCTTTCGTTTTCACAATGCACAATTGAGATTCTTCGTTTTATAAAAACGCTTTCGACTCTCTTGGTACTTTCTCAGTCTTAGTGATTTTTTTAAAAACGCTTCCATGGCGGATTGAGGATGCAAGGTCGTAAAGCACTCAAACGTGCCTTCCATTTCCGCGACAGAGGTAAGAACGCATGGTTGTATCAGATTTTTAAATATATGGTAAATACTTTTATTTCGAGTTTCTCAGTCAACATTTTCTCCTTCAAATGCTCTTAATATGTCCTAATTTTCTCTGATATCGGGCAATCAAAAACGTTCCTGCAGTTAACTAACGAGGATTGCTAACTTTTACTTGGTTCTGGGTTGTATTAATTGTATTGCCGCTTCGTGTTCTAGGCTAATTAATCTAAGCTTGTTTGAACAAGTTACAGCTGTCGAATTCACAAAAATGCGCAAGCAATACCTGGCATTTACCTTGGACAAAATAAGTAATTCGGGAGAATTAAAAGGAGTATTGAAGTCATGGATTTGATTTTGTGCAATCGTGTTTTGCACTAGGTTTGGTGTCAGGCTTACATAAGTATTAATTTAATGTGCTCCCGTATTTACGATGCATTTGATCAAAAACCTATAAACATTTCCAGCGTATTTCACGTGTTCATGTTTATTATTTTATATAGTTTAAAAGTAATTTTTTTCCTTTTTGATAAACTACTTAGATTCTCCCTTTTAACTGTACTGTTATACTGATTTCCATGTTAAATATTGAGAAACGATGACTTTTCTTCAAATGTCACCTAGTGATTTATTGGAAGCGTCCTTTCAACTAACTGCCTTTGATTTTTAGGATTCCAATTCATCAACTGGTAATGATAGATTGGTATCTGAGTAAAGTTTACCTTTAAATGGGTAGCAGAAATTAGCCAGGTAAGCCTGATGAAATGCCAGGGGGAAAGGGGATGGACTAGCATCCCGTCCAAGGGGTGTAGTTACTCCCACTCACTTCATGTGAGGAAACCAGTATTATAAGCTCAGGGCCTGGATGGGCCACTGCTCAAATACAGACTTTACCTGACTACCTACAGCCTCTTAAATAATTTGAATTGCTGTTGTAACAAATTATATGAACTTGCAACACTTGCCCAATTTATTTCAGTCAATTGAAAATGTATTTTATAAATATTGAATCATATTTTAGTACATATCTTTGTTCTTTTGCTGCTTTTATAGTATGACATTAATTGCTTGTGATTTTGTGTCTATGTATCCCTCCCATTCTCAGAAGGGAAAAAATATTTATTTTACAACTGGGAATATGTTGAGCTGATGTTTATTACCATTTGCAACCAACTTTCTTTCAGGCCAGGATAACTTGAAAGCAGCACCTTTGTAAGAAGCATCAGTCTTCTTACAGTTGCTATGGCTACAGAAAGAAGTCCAATTAAAGTTCCATGTGAAAATGAAGACTTACCTGAAAAAGAAAATGCACCAGATTTTGATGAGGACACTTTGCAAGGTGAGCTGTGTTGAGCTTCAGCTTCAGTTATTGTTAGAACTTTTTCTATTCCACCATTTTCAAGAATGTAAGCAGATGTGGAGAAGGATATAATTATACACTGTATTAATACTTTAAAAGATATTTGGCCAGTTATGACTCTCTTCTATGATTATAATATGCTGTTCATTTAGAGGATCTATGACACAGAAACCTTTGTTATTTTCTTTTCTAAAAGTTCAAAGCAAGTACACTGTACACAAAGTTATAATAAGTAAATACTTTATTTGATCATGGTACAGCATCCATTTTGTAAGTTTGCATCATAGTTACCATCATCATCATCATCTTCCCATTATAATTCAACAATCAATTGAAAGCTTCAACCTCCCCTCCCCCCTTCCTTTTCCCCTGGGCAACCCACAAGCATTTGATCAATTTTCATCCAAGCCAAACAAGGGAAGGGGGGGGGGAAAATTGAACCTTGCCTGACTACATTGGGGAATTTGAATCAGAAGTGTCAAGACTTTATAATAGAATACAAGTGTTATATTGATCTCTAACTGTGGAGGTGTTTAAGGTAAACAATGCACTTTTACTAACAAATGGCTTAGAAGGAAAAAGTCTATATTAAGGTTTAGGTTTTATGCTTAATCATCATCATCATCATCATCATCATCACCATTGTTACCCACATTATAAGCATTATCATAACTATCATCTTTTTTATCATTTTTCTTATCATTTTTCTTATCATTTAGGCAATAACATACTGTTTGTCTATATTAAGTAATATTGCTTCTGGTTGTTTAATGCTGGCAACATTTGGATCTTATTGACTCATTAACCATCTAAATGTATTGAAAGCAGAAGACTCTTCTACACCTATAATTATGCCAACTCTCCCTGATTATCAGGGAGTCTCACAGTCACTGAAGCAGACTCTGAGGGTCTCCCACATGGGTCATCAAACTTTCAAGATAAAAGAGGATTTGGTTCAGCTCCACACAGAAACATCACATTTGAACTCCAGATTTCCCACATCTAATGTTATCTGCCCTTTTATTAATATTAGGGTTCTTATCTTAATTTTCTTGACTGCACTTAGACTGTTTCCAAGTGGGGATTACACTTTTTTCTAAACAACAACCACAACAGTAACTGAGTCTGATTGGTTGAGCTTTCAACCAAAAAATCTCTCATTAATTTACTGAGAGGGTCTTTCCTGTGAAGGGGGAGGGGGGGGACTGCACACATTATCTAAGCTTTTCAGGGGATAGGTTAAGTCAGGCAGATGCAAAAGTGGCATCTGGCACTAAAGGAAAAATCTGCAGATTTTGAATCTCCAGATCTTGGCAGCTCTGCTTATATTCACTAATAATTATTAACTACAACCACAGACTTTTTTAAAATTTTTTCTTTGCAGCCACAGCTGATGTTTATAGGAATAAAGGTAATGAGGCCTTCAAGAAAGGAGATTTCATCAATGCTATTCATTTTTACACCAAAGGAATTAAAATGAACTGCAATGAGAAAGAACTGAAGGCCAAACTGTACAACAACAGGGCTATTGCACATTTTAAACTTGGTAAGATGATGAGAGCTTTAATATGCATTTTTTTCCCTTTTGAAGCTATTGGGCTGTTAATAGTAGTTTTCTGAAAAAGGTGATAATTTTGAATGTAGGCCTTGTCTTGGCCTCTTAAACATACAAAGAAGTAACCTCTTACCCCAGATATCAATGAGCATCACAAGTTTTTCCTAAAATTGTTGTAATGGTGGTTGGTTAAAATGCTACGTGTATGGCTGATCAGAGATATTTATTTCAATAACAGGAAATCACCAGTATATTCACTAGGGGATGCAGAAGCAGCCATTGAGTTAACTCCAACTTTCCTTGAGGCAATTATGAGAGGTTAGATATGATAGCTGTGCTATAATAATAATAATAATAATAATAATAAAAGAACTCAACACTCTAAGGTCAAATGAATTTCAATCTTGTCTCAATTGACTTTAATTAAGAAGTTGAGTCCAACTTGATGTACATTTGAATCCAGCTCTTAACTGCTATGCCATTACTTTCCATTAATTATGATGAGAATATTATTTTGAGCTGGATGAATTAAGAGCTCAAAGTGGAATGCAAAGCAAAATTTCAGCATGAGTATTTTAGTTCCCTAAGCTCGATGAGCAAGGTCAAGTGGTGTCAGATATGTTTAGTCACTATCTAGCTGTTTTAAAAAGAAGTAAGGATCAGGACTTACCTTCACTCAAACCTGTAAGAAAACTTTCCTCATTCGTCAAGCATATCAGGAAGCCACTGGGCTTATGGAGTAGAGCCACCTTACTTACAACAGTATTTAAAAAATAATAAGTGCTGTGAATGTGCAGCTTTGCCAATACAGTGTTTATTTAAGTAAAAACTCTTGCATTTTTGTCTTAAAGCTAAAAAGATTTGACAAACTAGTGAATGAAACAGCTCTGTGATCACTGCGCAAGGATCAACGGTGGTAAATCTTGTCTTCATCTTGGAGACACAAACAAAATAAAACACGATGGATATCAGAGGCTAATGACACCGAAACGCCTTATTTTGCAGATCTTCTTCTTAAACTTCGTCCACCATTTTGGATTTCCCTGGTGCACATTTGATTTGAAAACACTGCTGGTTTTATTTGATGGCGACTGCAGAAGGTGTTTCACATGTTCTTGTGTGTACATACAGGGAATAACACAGGGAAATACTTGGGGTTGGTGGGAACTAATTCCACCAATAGTTTTATACCAGAAGCATGGTTCATGGTTGCTGCAAGTTCTGGGAAAAGTCAGGGATATAAAGATTTCCTCAAGGTCAGAGAATATACATCTTTGAAAGAAGTCTGGCAAAATTTGAAGTAATTATCTTGCATTTTAATTGGACCCTTTATGATTATGTTACGTTTACAAAAATTGAGAGATATATATGCCCAACTTCTTATGAAAGTTCTTATCCGTAACTCTGGCTGTAAGCATGTTTAACAGTCTGCTTTGGTGATAATCACCTCTTTTTTTACAAATAATAAGTAAATATATATTTCAGTTTACAAAAATGAAAAAAAATATGCCCAGCTTGTTATAATGATTAGCTATGTAACAGTCTGCATGATGCACAGTCATTGGTTGCTGTCATATTCAGTACTAAATAAAATGATGAATACTACAGAGAGAGCTGTTGTTATGCTTCTCTTCATAAGGAGATCCTCAAGGATCTCTGCAAAAAAAAAGCATGCAATGTTCTTTGCAGCCAGTTTTTGATGTAACACTAGGAGACACAATTGATCTTGATGGCAGTAACATTATGCACTCCTCCATGTTAAAAGGACTAAAACTTAGTCATGACTTATTCTCTTGAAGATACTATTAAATTTGAAAATCCTAAAAAAGCCCCTACAATTTGAAAATCCTCAAAGATCCCCTACCATGCATCTTCAGTGCTCTTGCTTTCAGTGCTTCCTAATGATCACAACAGAGACATAGCTGGAAGAAATTGGGTAAAACTGACATGATCTTGTTACTGTAGGCCAAACAAGGACACTGAGAAACCTCTAATCTCTAAAGTACTTCATATGTCAATCACTGTGCAACAGCTTGACAACTGATCTGCCATGGGCGGCATGCAACATTGGTATGCAGAATGAAAAGACAATAAGAAAAATCCCCCCCCCCCCCCCATCCCTGACATGGTGTATTGAAGTATAGAAAAATCTGACAGAACTTGAATCTCTGTTTACAAAATATAAACAAAGAAAAGACAATATGAAACAATTTCCCCCCAACCCAACATGATATCTGTAGAAACTAGTATGCTTTAGGTATTCTGGACACAATTCTATGTATAATACAGAGTTGTGTCCAGAATACCTAAAACAAAACAAAAAGGAAATCAACTGAAAAACACTCATAATTTAACACATTAAATGCTAATAATATAACAATAAGCTTTTCAAGGAGTTTTGAATCTAAAATTGTTTTCACTTCTTCTTCACTTTAACTTTCAATTACACTTGTCATAATTTGTACCCACTAATTAAATGTCACAGAATGTAATGCAATCCAGTACATCACAACATCAAAGTTATTACCTTCATTGCTATGCCATTCCAATATTTGAAAATGCTAAACAAATGCATTCATATTCTTTTCTAGCATATACTTCATACAGCTTTTAATGAAGTACTTACTGTGGAACAAAACAAGTTCACCAACATCATTTACCATAGAAATCTTTCACTTCACATTGTTCCTAGAAAAAGATGAACACTGTCAGCAAATGACAGGCATTATGGTAAAACTTAATAACTTCCCATTTTTGACAGATGTTTTTCAATGAAAATTTCTTTTTAATTGATCTTGCTGTTACTTGAAAACACAAACTTCAATTGTCTAATACCAAAAATATTTTTCACATTCATAAAATCTTAGCACATGCTTGATGGAAATTTGAGCCTGTCAGCCATTCACATGTATAACATAAATTTATTACAACGTGTTCAATCTCATTTAACCCTTCTATAGGCAGTTCACAGTCATGCTTTATCTTTCAGTTCTAATAGACTCCTTCTTTTGCTCTTACAAAGGACTACAACACTTGAAACATCAGCTTTAGAATTTCTTTACAGAGACCTATTTACATTATCAACTCAGTTAATGAAACCAGATAATCTCTTTCTAACAGTCTCTGCTTTTTTTCTGATTGCATTTTTTAATGTCAATGGCTTTAGTTTTATGAACTCAAACCAAGTGCAGTAAAATCACTTTTATTAAATTCACTTGGTTTTAATTTCACAAGAATATAAAAAAATCAATCAGTATCATATTTTTCAGCTATAAAATAAAGTATTTGTCTCTTATACTCACAGGATGAATGGTTTGGCAAGCTTGAAAACAGCTTTCAGGGTGAATTTGGCCTTTAAAATGATGCAAAAGTTCAATCCTTCAAAGAACCTGCAGAAAAAAAGCAATGAAAGAGACATTACAGTTTAATTTATATCATTTATTTACCAAAATCTGTCAGATAAAACCATATTCTGTACTCTATCAGCAAAATAATTGTAATACATCCACTGATGTGCAAAGTTATCAGCATCATAAGATGCTTTTTACCAGTACCAGTATAATTCACCAAATTTATCATCTGACTTCTGACTTTGTTGATTTGGTTGCTAATATTTGAAGTAGGTATATGTTTCCATCAGTACAAACTTCTCTTACCTATTCTTTAATAGTTTGTAGAATTTTTTTACCAATTGAATCAAACAAAGGTTTGCACCATCATCCTCTCCATGGATAACAACTGTGAATTTGTCAGTGACAAGATTTTTCTTGATGTACTCTTCTACATTCTGAATTCAGAGATCAAACAAAGATGATTAACCCACATTATAGTTATAATGAATAAAGCTTTGCACCATCTTCCTTTCCATGAATAACAACTGTGAAGTTGTCTGTGACAAGATTTTTCTTGATGTACTGAGTACATCAGGAAAAATCTTGTCACTGACTTCTACATTTCTGAATTCAGAGATCAAACAAAGATGATTAACCCACATGTAGTTAATGATTGGTAATACAAGATGTAAAATCTTGGATTACAGGAAACAAAAAATTTACCTCAATTTCAATGCATTTTGCACAACAAGGAATAACTGAATTGTATATAACCATCATGTGAGTATCTACACTGCACTTTCAACTGGATCCCAAATATCCTGAGCAGAGTGTGCATCTAATTACCACCTAAGAAAGTTTTCTTTTGGATAACATAGTCATTAACATAGTTTAGTCATTAACATAGATTGAATTAAAGAAATACTCTCACTTGGGAGCAGAGATTGTCAGTAAGCATCTTTGATTTTGACCTTCGGAACAGTTTTGATACCAAAGGTACCTTCCCAGCGTTCAAAAGGAAAACATCATTGCCTGATTCATCACAGTGATCTGAATAAAGAAATATTTAAAACTCCTTTCAGAAAAGATTATCATACCACTTTTAAGACTTATTTTCTTAAACTACATGAACCAAACACTCAAGCCCTTGGGATTTCAATCACTCACCACTTTTTGTGAAGAAAGAGCTGACATCATATTCATCACAAGTAAGATGAGATTGCTCCAAAGCAATGCGATGTACTTCAACCTGTGAGTCTGCATGGTTTGAAAAATTTTGGTTAAATAGTGACATTTCCTTTTAATTCAATTGTAGTTAATTCATCAGAGGAAATCCTTAAATTAATTATACATTAATTATCTCAATTAACCCAGACAATCACACAACTTTTCACACACCTTGCAGTTGAAATCTCATGCAATACAAAATGGTTAACATAAAAAAAAAACCTTTCACCTTTAGGTATTTTATCTATCATTCATAGGAAAATACTCATCAGATACAAGAGCTTACTGTCAGTAAAACCCTGAGCATGATACAATGTTATTGCGGCCTTAAATTTTTCACCACAAAGATACTTACATTACAATTTACCTTTCTCAATGTCCCCTGTTGTTGGCCTAACCGCTGAAGACTTTCGTGGCCATTTGAACAATCAGGATTTCTAATCAAGAATAACATCATTCAATCATTAATCAATGATCAGCCCATGTTGATTGAACTTATTAACCACTGTCTTGATTTTTAAACAGGTTAACTGTCTACATTATTTATTCTATAGTAAACATTTTCCTTCTCATAGGGTGACTGTTAATGAGCCCACTGATAATTTAGGTTATCCCAAGGAAAATCAACAGCCACCATTTGCCAAAGGACACTCTTACATCATCATTTGGCAAATGAAGGTGAAAATAAAATCAATAAAATTTAATTAATGAATATATCAACATTAAATAAATCAAAGGTTCTTTTATACCAAATACCAGGCTCAGGTGATCAACAGGGGGGTCAGAGCTTTCCTGAACAGGCACTATGAAGAGGTCAAATGGTTAACAATTTGAATGTTTATTTTTATGTTTAGTAGATATGTAAACATTCACAGAAAATTCCTTGATTACTCCCTATGATAAAACATCAACTATATTTCACTCATGGCAAGGTTTATACTGAGTCTACAAATGCATAATAATTGCAAATGACTCTTTCTTCAGCTTAACCCTATTTAACATGTTACTTCTTCCTGTAATATTCACACATTATCCAGCAAACAGGTAGTGAGAATTCTCAAACTTATCTGGTAGAACTTTTTACCTTGATCTAATCAAATACTCATAACTAATTTACAAGGAAATGTGTAGCAGCTAGTGGGGAGAATTAACATTCAGATATTTAAGTTAAAGAGTTAAAACACTGGCAAATTTTACAAAAGTTAACTATCCTAAGTAATAACAGATTGAGAGAATGTTCCAACTGGAATATACAAAAGGCTAACCGCAGCCCTTGGCTGAACTACTTGCAATAGAACATACTCATTAAACAGCAGTAATTACCTTCTTGACTGGGGGCATCGATTGCTGGGGAGGCCTCATATTTCTGAGCTGGAATTGGAGTTCCTCCTCCAGGCTCAAAGACTGCAGTAAGACAAAAAGTTAACTATCCTAAGTAAGTACAGATTGGGATAATAGTCCACCTGGGTTACAAAAGGCTAACGGCAGCCATGACTGAACTTATTGCACTAGAGCATACTCATGAAACAGCAGTAATTACCTTCTTGACTGGGGGCATGGACTGGAGTTCCTCCCTCAGGCTCACAGACTGCAGTAAGACTAACTCACTTGGTGTCACTTCAATATAGGATGATGTCAAGTTTCCACACACATTTCAAGATGATGCACTACTATTACCAAAATCTCTCTCTGACTGTTTAGTGCTACTTGATACCCTTACAACAACGTCCCCCAAGCTTGATGCAGCTGCTTCTATTATTCTCTCAATGTAAAGGTCAAGCTGCTGTTCCTTGATTTTCATTGGCTCCCTAGAACTGGGAGTAGCATTCTGTAAGTAATAAATCATTATAATTATTTCTTAGCTGAAAAACTGTGAAAGAGAAAAGTATTAATAAACTTCCTAGTTGCTGTTATAATATTAATGACAATGATTAATTAAAAAAGGCATTTGCATGTTATGATTGATTCTTTTGATACAAATTGTTCCTGAAGCACAGCATGCACTACACTTATTTGAAACCCCATTTGAAGCCAGCTAGTGCATACATTAAATTCTATATTTAAACTCAAGAACCTGGTACTTAATAGGCTCCTAGCTTTAAGGCAGCTAATGCGTCAAGTTTAAAATGAAAAAAAATAAAATGTTTTTTACATATTAAAAAGGAGAAAAGTCACTTTAGAAAAGTAAAGTAGAAACTATTACCCTGGTCTTGATTCCTTTAGAGGTTCAAGTAGTTCATGTATGATATACACACTAAATCTTAATTCTTTAGAGTTCTGTCACAATATACAGACTGGTAAACCAAAAGCTGGTAAATCCTTATAGGTTTATGCATAGTGGACTCAAAGAGATTTGATAAACAGGGTTTAAAACTAAGGAGAATCTAGTGCACTTTAGACAAGGTTAGTTAGTTTCCAATTGGGAAATGTTGAAAATAAGCTAAAAAGTGCGCCATTGCAATATGTAAAATAATCCAATTGCGCTCTTTCTTGAAAAGGTAGATTATCGCATTTCTATGACAATGAGACCCTCACCATATAAATTTAGTGTCCAGCAATTCGACAAAGAAACGGCCGCCATACTAAAGTGAACGTTTGAAGAAAATGAACGAGCAGCTGAAGATTGCTTTCCTCTCTATCGATCACTTAGAGTTCTCCTTCACGTTTTTGGACAGAGATACTTTGTCCAATACTCTCTAATACTCTCCTTTCATAACGTCTGCCAGACGATCGATTGGGATTCGTTAGAAAAGTTCGCCATGTTTTAGCCTTAAATTCATTCCCTGCCCCTCCCCTATAAAGACAGTGTTTTGACTCGTAACCAGGATCCACGCTGTGCCCTGACACTTTTCTTGAGAAGATTCCTTTTAAGCAAAGGGTGGCGATCATCCCCAAATGTTGAAAAAGTTAGTTCAAACAAAAATAATGACGAATGAGATTAGCAATTCAGTATAAACGAAACCTCGCTAGTAAATAAGTCTCCAGCCTGTAAGCGCGCGCAAAAATACCGCACTATAGCACGAATAGGAAAAAACCTTCTTGTTCAGATATTCCATCTTGCAATGTTTTCCATAGTGCTATGTTGTCTTGAAAATAGTTCGTTTTCTGCCTATCCCTTGTCTGCACTTACCTGGTATCCTTTCCACTTGCAGCCCGAGATTTTTGACAACTCTGCTATGAATGAAGCGCGCGCATTTTATTCTCATTTCACGCGTGAAAAGATCCACTTGCCGCGACAAAATCTTTCCGAATTCTCATTGTTCTTAACCACACAAAACGCTGAAAGATCGAAACCTAGTCAGATTTGTTCTGACCATGCGCCATTTTGGACTACTAACAAGGCCATCCGGAGCGGTGCTATTCCGTCGATCTCTAAGACTGTTGTATTTGTTGTTGTTGTTGCCATGGTTGTGTTGTTGTTTTATTCGTACAAAAGACGCATTTTGATTATCTAAGACCTGCGCATCTTGATTTCGCAGACGTTTATGTTTATTAGTTGGCTGTAGCTGTCAATAAGTAAGAATAGGATTTCCTTGCGCTTGCTTTGGTGCCCGCCCTTTGGAGTTTTTTTGGTCCCCAGCTCCGTTTTTTTTCCATGCTCCGTGTTCATTTCAAACGGTGTCACTTTTCACTTGAGTTTTGGGGATATGAGTCCAATCCAAAAACAGTAATGAAAATATTTGCGTGATGCATATAATTTTTTCAATGAGAAGCTAAGTGATCGCAAAAGTAACATTACAAACACCGTGCAAAATGCTGATTTTATCTATTATACATTATTATATATTACTTTTAGCTAACCCTTTTCCATTATTCAGCTATTTATTCTTGGCGTCAAATTTCCTTGCGTTTACACCTGGTCCTTCATTCCCTACGCTTTGTCTCTTGGCTTCCTCTTCCAACACATATGAATTCTTCTTTTTCTTCTAATTTAAAGACAACTCAACTTTATGTATGCAGGAGCCCAAAGGCCTGGCACACGACAAATTCCGAATGTGTCCGACGAAATATAGCTAGGATCTTATTTTAACCACCCTAAGTACAAAAAAATTAACAACGAATAGTACTCACGTTTACAGGGCTCATCTCTTTGATTGCTTCCATCACTTTCTTGAATTTTCCTCCGAATGACTTATGAAGCGCCTAACTCCAACCAACGGAAAGTTATAATGACGGGTTGTAATTTTCGCGCGTCGTGATGACGTAACAGACGAGATAATAAACCAATCAACAGATTAGCAAGTAAACGTAACTTCTGCCTCGTTTTCAGGCGCCTTTGCACTGGTTTAGGAAAGCGTGGGAAACTGACCGAGTGCGCAGACTGCTGTATAGGAGGATATTGACAGATTTTAATAAACGTTCGCCCATTGACTGCCTCAGGCTCTAATTTACTCAAAGCGATTGCAAAAGCAACGGACAAGTCCAAGAAAAGAGACTGAGAAAGATCGGGAGTTTGTCAGGAAAAATAAAGAGGTGCGTCGTTTTGCAGGTAAACCAGTGTAGGGCTGTCGGTTGCTTTGGCCACCACGATGCGCTGACCACCGACCGCGAAAATTTAACACAGACTTCTCGCAAATGAAGGGTTCTGGATAGAAGAATGAGAAAGATCGGGAGCTTTCCAGGAAATAATGAAAAGAGCGCGTCCTCCCGCAAGAAAACCAAGTCTTCAAGCAAGCTGTTTTGTCGTTGATGCTTAGTTTGCTTGCGAACATATGAAAATGAGAGAAACATATGAGTGCTAAGTTCTGCTTCGTACGTAGCATGAAACCACTTGGCTATAAATTAACGAACGTTCCTCGCCAAAAGTAAGCTTCGCTCATCCGACCCGTGAATGATAGAAAAGAGATGATATTAAACCTTTGACCACAAGCAGTGACCATTAAGTAAATTTTGGCCACAAGTTCATTACACAGTTTGAAGGACAGGCAATGAAAAGACAAAAAGTGACTAAACTGGATTGAAGCTTTGATATCACAACAAATTGTCGATATCAAAAAGCATGGAAATACATACAGGGCACCAGTTATGAACATCCATTTTCAGATGCTGGGAGTGAGTACGTAGCTTCCAAAAACTGGAAAGGTTTCTAGAAAGTATTTCACTTTGGATATCATGGTTCATTTTACCTGATCCGTAAAACATTCTACGAGGTGGCTCTTCTTGTCCACTGACACAAATTGTCAATAAACAATGCAGGTAAACGTAGAGTTTAAAAATCTCAATTGGCCGGAGGCAAACCAATCGGCTATAGACAAAGTGCAGCCAAGGAGTTGAGCTCGAGCAATCGAGAACAAATCCAGTAAGTTGCAGGGTAAAGGACTTTAACCTGGAACCTAGTGCCTTAATCACTCGGGCACACAAGATCAACGCTGTTATTTCTGTGAGTCGTGACGTTTGTTTTCCTAAAGCAATTCACACGCAACACACGCCCTCTAGTATCAGGCTTCAGGAGTTTTGTGTTTCATTTCACGTCATTTTTCACCTCAAGCGAACGCCAGATATTTTGTATTGTACTGTTTTGTTTTTCTTCCCACCTACCCTCCCACCCTCGGTGATTTTACGTGATGTCATAGGGTGGCAGAGAGGTTTACTCAGCACATCATTGGCTGTTGTTTACTTTTCGTTCGTATTCTTAATAAACTTCTCTCTGTGCCGAAAAGCGAATTGTGTTTTATTTGTGTCAGGGAGCGTAGTTGGGGAATAAGTTTCTTTTGGGAAAGGCTTTTCAACGACGATAGGAACATCCTTTGCAACCGCATTACTTTGGAAGGAAAGAAAAATCACAGGGTACCCACTCTCGTCCTAGGAGCTACTCGTTTTCTCTCATTTCGAACATGAGGAATGCTTGTGGATTGTGTTTCTAAGACTTACCTCATAAGTTAAGCGTTTAGGGTAACAAGGAAACATGTAAAAATACTGAGAAAAAATGTCAAAATAATAAAAGTAATTACATAAAGTATAGCTAATTAAATCGTATGAAAGTGAGAGAATAATGTTATGTGAAGCGCTCGAGAAGTATTTTAGTAATGTTAAGGTATGTGTATACGAAGTATGCTGAGTTTTTGGGAGATTTCTACTCCAAGCGCAGTCTATTAAGTATATTTTGGTTGCTTTTGGCCTCGCACCAGCTGCAGGCATTGTAATTAACAACGTATGAATAAATGGGTTTAGTTTCTAAGGAAACTGTGGTGCTGCGTCGGTGAGGGGTACAACGAGATAATTTGATTTTATAATCCAACTGCACAAGGTAGAGTTCAAATAACGCGAATATATGTATATACCACATGTGTACAGTTGGTTATTTTGTTCTGTAAAAAAAACCTGTTTAACCGGTCGGCTGCGCACGCTGCGCTTCTCTATCCACTTTGCTTTTCCCGCCTTATGAGAAATGAGCAGAAAGACTTGGCGGAAAAAAAGCAGTTGGATCATAAATAACCTAGTAGACTATTCATTGGTGTGTAGTATTCCCTAGTATTTTCACTCCTTGTTTGAATTCGACGAGCCTGTGGGGGAAGTCAAAATACGGCACAGCTCCTAAAAATACTCAGGTATGTCACCGCCAGATAAAGAAAATCCGAAAAAATCACCTTGAATCTTATTTCGCAAGATAATCATCTCACGGCTGGAGCTTGGGCTGCCTGTGGTGTGAGTTCAGATAAGTTAAGTTTTTTTTTTTCTCTCAAGGTGAAGTAACGCGATATTTTCGTCCGTCTGAAAGTCATGCTCTTTTTCTGTTACATGCCTAACAACTCACGTTCCATCACGTACCATAAAAACAACGTCCGAAGTCCGCTAGAACATACCCAATCATTGCACTACACGAACATTAGTCAATTTTTTACGTGCTTGAATTGTATTCCACCAACCAAATTCACATTTACGCGCGCCCGGGTATTATTCACTATTCATGACTCATTTCCTCGGGAAAGTTAACAATGTATCATCAACTTTTGGTTTTCCTGAGAATGTCACGCAATGGTAAAAACATCAGTATGGTCGTGAAACAAAAAGTGAGTCATTTGCATCCTGTCGCGGTCGAGTACTAGGAAAAGAGTACCCTCTCGACACCGTTCTTGTTATAAGTCACCTTCTGAAGAACTCATCAAAATATCTTCGGTCTTGCAAAATTTTACAAATTTAACAGGTTCTTAAGGACGAATTCCACGCTCCGTCGTTGACGAAACGTCGTTTTAAGGTAAGCTCTGAAATAATTCATTAAACCAAGTGGATTTTTGTCTCACCCACTCGCAGTGTTCCATCAGTAACATTGCCAGTTTGTATTAACAAAGAAAAACTTATTACATTGTAAAATATAGACAATCCGGTATGAGGCGTGGGGTCTTGGTTTCATATAGGTCTTTCAGCAAAGTGAGCCGGCAACAACACACTAGACCATATGATCGCAGACAAGAGCAAGTTATGAAAATGTTATCGATCTAAAGTGCTGTGTCCCTGCTTACTCTATTTTTTTAGAAGAATATTTAGTGAGAACCGAGAAAACTGAGTGTTACGAGATAATCTGAAGCCTTTTTCCTTTTTATTTTGATTATAAACTACCGTCTACGTGTTACATCCTGTTCGCATTATAGAAATTGAAAGAGGAAGCAGTTGTCACAAACACATGTTTCGAGGGGAGATGTAAAACGCTCCTTGCTTATTAAATGATACAAAACTTGGCAGGTATTTTCAGTCAGAGAAAAATTTAAGGCGACAAATCAAAATACGAATTCTTTAACACATCATTTGACTTCTTTTGAAAAAATGTAGG